GATATGTCAAAAACAAGTAAGTAAAACAATGCACAAGTTACTTAACGGTAGGGAGAGAGCGAGAGAGAGACAGAGAGAGAGAGCGAGAGAGAGCACGCGCGCACTTCTGTTGTGTGAACATCAAAGATCACACAACAGAAGTGCGCGCGTGCTCTCTCTCGCTCTCTCTGTCTGTCTCTCTCTCGCTCTCTCCCTACCGTTAAGTAACTTGTGCATTGTTTTACTTACTTGTCTTTGACATATCCGACCGAACTATAAACTTTCCAATGATGTCTGTGAGAACGGTATATTCACTCGGCAAGCTCGCGCATCTGCGCCGCCGCGCGCTCAATCCACTCAGCGTGCTTTTTTTATCAGCTCGCGCACTTCAGCTATACAGGCGTTAATACTGAATGTTTAACATTATATTTATTGCATACATATACTTCGTAGTAGACATCCATAACTCCTTTCTGCTGTCTGTTGTCAGTGTTTCTTTGTTTAAATATGGCGCTTATCACATGCTGTGTGGTATCGGCGTTTGGTATCGGGGCATTTTAACGAGTACGAGTACGAGTACAGGAGGCCAGTATCGGGCCCGATACCGATACCAGTATCGGTATCGGTGCATCCCTAGTTTGAATGAATGAAGGCTCGGTGCATCTGTATTACATCAGTTCACTCAGAGATCCGCATAATCTCACAGTATGTGCTGAAGGATCCTGTGGAGTTACAAAAACACATGTCCCTGCCTGACATCATTTATTTTCAGCCTTTTGGATGCTTTTATATATTATGGCTCAGTTTGGATTCTGGAAAAGTTCAGAAATACATCATATTCTATTTTATTCTATTCTATTCTATTCTATTCTATTCTATTCTATTGCCTAACAATAACATTGTGGCAGCAACTAAACATAAACTACCCACTTTTTTAATGTATACATAGTATAGCCTATACACTAATGTTCAAAGTTTGGGGTCAGTAAGTTTGTTTGTTTGTTATTTATTATTTCAACAAAAAAAAAATGTAATACTATTATTCAGCAAGGATGCAGTAAATTGATAATAAAAACTGATAATATTGATAATACTGGTTTTTTTAACTTTCTATTCAAATAAAATTACAAATTGCAATAATATTTCATAATATTACTGTTTATACTGTAGTTTTTATCAAATTAATGTAGCCTTACAAAACACTAAAACTCACAATATTGAAAAAACTCGTTTCAGCCCCAAACTTTTGAATGGTAGTGTATGTGAATGTGGTATTAGATACATATATTTATATATAAGATTTGTGCTCTCATTCATATTTATGCGGAATTTAATGGATGGTGTGAAAGTGTCATCGTATTCTTACTTCACAATAAGGGATGATTCTGTAGAACCCTTTAGACTGATGATTGAATAAGAACTTACTTTGTAGTTGAAGAAGTGAGAGACAAATCAATTGCTGAAAAATATGGAGAAACCAATAATTAAGCTTGTAGTAATTAAACATTTTCCTAATCATTTAATTAATCAGTATTTTTGTCCTGTATTTCAGTTAAAATATCAAAACATGGTTAAAACAAGATACGTTTACATTTTTAAGTTTACAAGATAAGGTTACAAATTGTGTAAAAATATTAATACTATATTTAGAATGAAGTGTATCTACCATTGTTGAATAGTTTTTATAAAACGGATAGTTCCGGTCCTTGATTCTGATTGGCTGAGCCACGTTGGAAGCTGTTGTAAATTACTCTACAAACATTTGTTTACGTTTGTGTGTTGCTTGGCAACCACTTTGTTGCAACCACAACCGATTCTGAGGAACTAGGCCTATATTGTTTGGTGGAAGAATACTGTTTTTATTAATATCATTACACTTTATTTGCTCTGTTTTATTTTGTGAAATCTTACTATGTATATGGAATAACCATTTCATAAAAGCAATAAGCTCCGTGTAGCCGTGGTTCCACTTCGCGTCGTGCCTAACAACGCCCCTTAGCTGTTATAAATTCACTGTAAACCACGGCTTCTTGGGGCTTGTTGCTTTATTTAAGAAGCATAAACCTCACAATTTTGTTTAGATTTAGTTTCCCTTTGTATTCTTCACTTTTATGGACGGTTGTAAATTTTTTTGAAAAACAACAAAAATACTGATTAAGAAAATTATTTTTTGCAATGTGGGGCAAGTGTGGTGAACTCCATTCACACAGGCCGAATAAATCAACTTCTCAGCCATTTTGAGTATATCTACACAGATTTCCAGCAGGTGCAGTATAATGTGTGTGTTTGAACTCTAGGTGAGTTTGGGCCGGTATCAGGGTTTCATTCATTGCCTGCTGTTCCTCAGCTGCATGTGCCACCTCGTCACCCATCACCATGGCGATAGGGAGAGGAAAAAAATTAAAACATCTGAATATTCATAGTGATCCTTGCCAAGCCACAGAAGGCTTCAATCTGATTGGTGGAGCTCAATGTTCTTACTACAGAGCTTTCACTTTAATGATGCAAAGGCAGTTCACCTATTTGAAAATGACTCCGTGCACGTCTGAGGTTTTGAGGGCTTAGAATACATTTTCATTGTGTTATTCTGTGTCTTGCAGAAATACAGGCAGTGCATGGCAGGGCTTCTCGCCCCGCCGTATGGAGTGATGGACAGTGGGGCTGCAAATGATAGTGAGTATCACACGTAAACATACACACTCACATTATAACATATCAGTGATTATTTCTCAGCAATTTTCTGTTTGATGCAGGAATGCCGGACAAAGAGAATCTCAACAGCGACCCTCTCAATTTTATGTCAAAAAACCTGAATAAGGTACGATTGATTTAATATCTATTTTGACTTACACCTCATATCTAGTAAAAGTTGCATAATGTCCCCATTCATCACCTTTATAGTTTAATGGGTTGTATAGATATAATAAAAATACAGTAAAAACAGTAAAATTCAGTAAAAAAATGTTTTATTACAATTTATACAAATAGCTGTTTTCTATTAAAAAAATTATATATTTTTGTGATTGCAAAGCTGAATTTTCAGCATCATTACTCCAGTCTTCAGTGTCACATGATCCTTCAGAAATTATTATAATATGCTGATTTGCTGCTTAAGAAATGTTTCTTATTATTATCAATGTTGAAAACAGTTATGCTGCTCAATATTTTTCTGGAAACTCTAAAACATTTTTATTTGAATTCTTTGATGAATAGAAAGTTTAAAAGAACAGCATTTATTTGAAATATATATATATGTGTGTGTGTGTGTGTGTGTGTGTGTGTCATTTTTTATCAATTTAATGTGTCTGTGATGAATAAAACTATTAATTTAAAAAAAATCTTACTGACCCAATACTATTGAATGGTCATATTTATCTGAATTGGTTGCAACCCCTGTACTTTGAACTTGCAGTGGTCAAAAATCAATATTTTAATTATTTAATTTTTGATTCATCTTCATTTTCTGGCACAGTTTCCTGAGAGTGACTCTAAAACCATTTTTGATGATTAATTTGACAGTAATTCCCATTTCCATGTACATAACTCAAGACCGCAGGCACCACTTTTACACAGATTTGTGCTAATTATGTATAATTAATTGAATTTAAAACACACCATCTGCTACCAGATGTCATTTACACTAGCGAATTGAGTGCAGGCCATTGAATCCCAATAAATGTGCTGCGTGCAGATCAGAAAATATAGGCTGTGCAGGAATGTTTTTCTGTGCCTCGCTCTCAGCTTCCTCTCTCTCTGTCCCGGATTTTGCTTCAGGTCCCATCAGAGAAGATTTTGAGGGCAGAAAAAGTCTTACGTAATGCTATACTGGCCAGAGCTCCCCACATGATCAGAGATAGAAAATATCATCTGAAAACCTACAGGTGTGTGTGTGTGTTGTCTATGAAAAATGTTATATGGCACAACTTATGCATGATTTATTCAATTAGGTCATGTCTAGTATATGTAGAAACAAAGTACAGTGCATGTGTTGAGCGTGATCTGTGTGTGTGTTTACAGGCAGTGTTGTGTGGGCACTGAGCTGGTCGATTGGCTGCTTCAGCAGAGCTCGTGTGTTCACAGTCGGGCTCACGCTGTGGGAATGTGGCAGGTGCTGCTGGAGGAAGGGGTCCTGAATCACGGTACACCTTTCCCTTTGCTGTAGTGACAGCCAGCTTAACAGACGGGTCATTCCTACTATGCAGTACCTTTTCACATCTTTATTTGTCTTAAAGTCTTGGTAAAAAATATTAAACTCACAAATTACACTACTTAAATTGGAAATCATATTACTTAGATTTATTTTATGACAATTAAATGATCATATTGATTTTTTTTTTCTCTGATTCTTTCTCTGAGTGTTATTATTTTATTTTAACCTGTGTTGGTTTAGTATTATTTAAATACTGTTATAGTATTTATTAGCATTTTGAATTATCTTTTCTTTTTATATTTTCATATATTATAAATATAAATATATTTTATATATTTTTTATAATTATTATTTTTTTTGTGGTTTTCAGTTTTAGTCATTTTGTTATGTGCTTTTGTCATTTTTTTGTATTTTTGTTTAGCTTCAATTTAATTTTAATTAAATTTTATGAACTTTAGCACATCATTTTTTCAGTTAGTTGCCAATGCAACATTTTATTTTTGTTTAGGTTTTTCGAGTTTCATTTTTGAATCTATTATTTATATTTTATTTTATCTTTATTTCAATAACGGAACATAATTTTCCACTCATTTTAGTTTTCGTTAACGATACGAAGTAATCAATTAGGTTTTTTTCACTGACCTCAAAATCACTTTCCATCATGTATTTGGCAACAAGGTCTTTAAAACCTGGAGAAAGATATCTAGTGTTCCCATTCATCACATGTTGTATTTTGTCTCTGTTCTTTCTCTTTGTTATGTTGACAGTCGACCATGAGCTCAACTTTCAAGATAAGTACCTCTTTTACCGCTTCCTTGATGACGAGGAGGAAGATGCGGTGTTGCCTAGCGACGATGACAAACGTGAAGCTGAGGAAGAGCTGCAGGAGACCCTCCTCATCCTTTCCCAGATCGGCCCTGACGCACTAATGCGAATGATCCTCAGGAAACCGTGAGTGACCAACAGTGCCCCCTTGCAGTATTTATTCATGTGAAATGTGCATTTGGTTCCATTAGAACAGGAGTGCTAGATACTGTATGGCCTACCTCTTAAGCGATGCGTTCATATCTATTTGCCCACATTGTCCGCTTTTACTCTTCCTGAACTATTCTACCCGTCTTTCTTTTTCCATTCTTCTGATTATAGGCCAGGTCAAAGAACAGCTGAAGACCTGGAGATTATTTATGATGAGCTGCTGCATATCAAAGCTCTCTCTCATCTATCTAACACTGTAAGTCCTCCATTGCAACCTCTGTGCCTCATGTACACACAGTAATGCCTGATATCAGCACTGGTATGAGCAGACTAACATGAGCTGTGCTGTGCTGTGCTGCTCTCTGCAGGTGAAGAGAGAGCTCGCCGGTGTCCTCATCTTTGAGTCACATGCCAAAGCAGGCACTGTCTGTGAGTTTCAGTGTCTCTTTGCTGCTCTTTAAATTCTGATAGCTAAATTATACACACTTTAATACCATTGAAAGATATATAATGATAGATAAACGACAAAATTTTGGTGTCAGTAAGATTTTTTTTTAAAAAGCGCACCAAAGCTGGTTTTGAAAACTCACTTATGCTTAATGAGGCTGTATTATTTTTTATTATTATTAAAAAAATTAAAAAAACAGGAAAACCAGTAAATATTGCAAAATATTATTACAATTTAAAATAACTGTTTTCTATTTTAATATATTTTAAAATGTAATTTATTCCTGTAATGAAAAAGCTGAATTTCCAGCAAACATTACTCCAGTCTTCAGTGTCACATGATCCTTCAGAAGTCATTCTAATATATGCTGATTTTCTGCTTAAGAAACCTTTGTATCATTTGTTATTGAAAACATGTCTGCTGCTTAATATTTTGTGGAAACCATGATACATTTTTTGTAACATTATAAATGTTAACTTATTATTGTCACTTTTGTTCAGTTTAATGCATACTTGCTGAAAAAAAGTATTATTTTCTTTAAAATATTTTCTTTCCTTAAAAAAAAAAAAACTTTACTGACCCCAAACTTTTGAGTGGACTATGCTGGTTGCCACCACTGCACTTAGGTCTTAGGACACCGTTCTGAAAATATCAAAAAAATATATATATGTTATCTTAATTTTTCTTGCACTCACTGACTCCAAACTTTTGAACAGTAGTGTAAACACTCATAGGTTGGCTCAGTCATGTTCTCTGTGTGTTCGCTTTCTATATTTCAGTGTTTAATCAAGGGGAGGAAGGCACTTCTTGGTATATTATCCAGAAGGGATCAGTAAATGTTGTTATCTATGGCAAGGTAATGTCAGCTTACATGAATTCTGTTTATTCATGTTAATGTTAAATGACTACATACATGTTCACTTATTTATGTCGAGTGATTCTAGTGGCAAACACTGTTAGATGAATTCAGACTGAGTCTTGGTTGTGTTTAGGGTGTGGTGTGTACGCTGCATGAAGGAGATGATTTTGGCAAACTGGCCTTGGTGAACGACGCCCCTCGCGCTGCTTCCATCATACTCAGAGAGGACAACTGCCACTTCCTGAGAGTGGACAAAGAGGACTTCAACCGGATACTCAGGGTACACAGACAGCACCAGGAGAATGAGTAGTTAGTGAATCTTTGAACCTTATATAGTGGAAAAATTAAATCTTGATTGCTTGTATTTTGGTTTGTGTATATGTTTGTTTGTGTGTGTAGGATGTTGAAGCAAACACTGTGCGTCTAAAAGAGCATGACCAGGATGTTCTGGTACTACAGAAGAGTCTCCGGCCCTCCAGCCATGGAAACATCCCAGCCCACTTCAAGTATATGATCACAACCATCAGTCTTGCTCAGTTTATCCTTAAATTTCTTGATCCATTAACAATAAATGAATCCATCCATGCATTTATTTAAACAAACTACATTTGCTATGTCTGGGTTTGCTGGACAGATACACTGTGATGTCAGGCAGCCCAGAGAAGATTCTGGAGCATCTGCTGGAGACGATGCGACTGGACATTCATTTCTCTGACCCAGGTACTGTACCTTCTCATTCATCGCTGAATAAGATTAATCACCTAAAACTTTGTATTGAAGGAACATTTCACACAAAAAAATACAAATTTGGCCATCCCAGATTTTGGAGAAATTTAGCATTGCGTCAGTTGCACGCCAAAGGATCCTCTGCAGTGAATGTGAATGGGTGCCGTCAGAATGAGAATCCAAACAGCTGATAAAAACATCACAGTAATCCACAAGTAATCCACACCTCTCCAGTCCATCAATTAATGTTTTGTGAAGTGAAAAAGCTGTGTGTTTTTATAAAACGAATCCATCATTACAGCATTTTAACTTTAAACTGTTCTTTCTAGTGGAAATATGAGTCCATGATCTATAATAATGCCTCCTCCAGTCAAAAGCGTCCATCCCCTGTTGTCCTCTCACATCAAAATCTACCAACCTATTTGTTTAGAATTATTTTGGACTGTTTTTGCTTGTAAACAGTGCTTGATCTGTGCATATTTCTCTCCTGAATTAGACGAGATTACTTTTTTATCACTGGAGAAAGCAATATTATGTGTAGAGGGCTGTTTGAAGTTAAAAATGGATTTTTAATGGATTTTTCGTACAAAAACACAGATTTTTACTTTACAAGATCTTAATTGATGAACTGGAGTGGTGTGGATTACTTGTGGATTATTGTGGTGTTTTTATCAGCTGTTTGGACTCTCATTCTGACGGCACCCATTCACTGCAGAGGATCCACTGGTGAGCAGGTGATGTAATGCTACATTTCTCAACATTTGTTCTGATGAAGAAACAAACTCATCTACATCTTGGATGGCCTGAGGGCGAGTAAATTCTCAGCAAATGTTCATTTTTTAAATTAACATTAACATTAACTAATTTAAAAAATATTTTTCACCCACAGACCCAGCTCTGGATGATTTTGTGCTCATGCACTGCGTCTTCATGCCCATCAGCCAGCTGTGCCCTGCCCTTCTGGCCCAATATCCTTCTAGTGGAATCAATCAACTAATCAACCGTATCTATCTATCTATCTATCTATCTATCTACCTATCTATCTGTAAGAACAGCACGCTGTTTTTGTAAGTATGCATATATTCCTTAGCGTGTGTGTACCTACCACTCTCAGGCCTCTCAGGGCTCAGAGCAGGAGCGTCTAGACTACTCTGTTGCCAGCAAGAGACGGGTGCTCAGCTTGGCTCTGCGCTGGGCTACCCTGCAGGGCCACCATCTGCTGGAGGATGACACTGCGCTCAGCTTTCTGGAGGTTATAAACATACACAAACATACACATGCTGGCATAGAATCACTTACCACCAGTCTGCATAGAGATTTGATAGTCAGATGAGTGCATGAAACCAAACTGATTATTACGCATGCTGAATGTGTTTCGTGTGCATTCAGGAGCTGCACGGGTTCGTATCTAATGATGCAAGAGTTTTGCGTCCAGTGAAGGAGCTACTGCCTGAGCTGGAGAGGATCATGAAACAGTAGTAGGTTTTTAGTGTGTTGTGTATGTGCCTTTTGGGCTGTTATTATTAGCATAATCTGACTGGTTAATGTTACTGATGTCCACATGTGTCTGTTCCTTTTGTGGTCTCAGTCCAGATGATGCACGAACCTCTCAAAAAAAGGTAATGTAGATCTGCTTTCTTATACTTTATGCATATTGTTTATAGATCTACTGTATATGTGGTCTAAATTAGATTTTTTTTTTATTATCAATATTTTACCATGTTCATATGCATTTGTTTTTTTTGGTCTCAGCATAAAGTCCTCCTGCGACAGTTCAGCTCTGGAGAGGAGAGGCTTGCAAAAAAGCAGCCAATAAGGAGCTTTGATGACAGTGAGTATACATATATATTTATATGAACCGTTAAGAATTTGGAAAAAAATAATAATAATAAAACAAAGAAAAGTTATGAGTGTAAAAACAAATGAATATGAAATACGAGATGTGTCACTATTTCTAGGTCACTAATAAATACATTTGTTGACAATAACCTGGAAGACTCTGATTGTTAACATAATCGCCAGATTTTGCATGATTTCAGCTTTTCAGCTGATTTCAGCTTAAGTACTGCTGTCAATGAAAGAAAAAGGGGGACCAAATACTAATAAAATATTCGGACATGCATGTTAATTTTAAACGTTTAAACTTCTAAACTTTTATTTTTATTATTTAAACATTTCACTTTTTCTTCTGGCAAAATGGAATGTTTTCTATGAAGGTTAAGGGAAACTTCTGTTTTATCCTATATTATTTTTATCATTATGGGAATGTTACTTTTGAACGTTCTCTGAACATTGTGAAACAAGTAGTAACATTAAAAAAAATTTGAACCTCCAACTAAAATTTTTCAGATAAAACATTCCATGAATGATGCATAAATAATGTTTTTCTGCTAATGTTTTGAAAACATTAACTGTGAATGAACGTTCTGTTGATGTTACTGGAAGAACGTTTGTTCATATCTTTGAGATTCTTGACAGAGTGTTAGCCGGATTTCTGAGAACATTCCCTATTGTTGGGATATAAAATATATCAAACCTGTTTCATTTTTGGAATGAATGAGCATTCATCAGACAATCGGACAATCACTCAATCAGTCAGTCAGTCAGTCAGTCAATCAAATTTCCTCTCTCTTCTTTGTCTTTCCATGTGTCTAGTTCTCTTGAAGGTGTACTGCAGCGATCACACTTACACCACTCTTCGTGTTCCTGTGCTGGCCACAGGGAGAGAAGTGACCGCAGCTGTAGCAGATAAACTGGGATCCACTGAAGAGCTGCTTTTGATAAACCTCAGCGCATCTGGAGGTGATCCACATACACACTAATTCATGATGAAATATTAGTTGCCCTTGGAGATGTGACAAACAAATACACACAAGACATTGTAGATATTCATCCCTTTTGTTGCTCTAGCAACATTCTGTATTGAGGCACTCTGTTTCTGTATTATATAATCCACAGCCAGATCAGTTTCAAACTAAACCTTTCAGAAGTACTAGCATAGCTTTAAATCATGTAACAGGTTGAAGTTTATGTGGTAGTCTAAATATTAATGATAGTAAATGCAGTGCATAAAATCTATCATAAAACGTATTAGGTGTTGATTGTACAGCTGAAAAAGTGTTCAAAATGTGGTTTGTGGTCTGACTAATTCTAGGCTTTATTTCTGTGCAGAGAAGCAGATTTTAAAGCCCAATGATGTATCAGTGTTCCAGTCGCTAGGAGTGAACGGACGATTGTTTGCCTGCTCCAGAGAACAGCTTGATTCACTGGTGAGACGAAATGTGAAATATTCAGACACTTAAAGGAATAGTTCATCCAAAAATGAAAATTTGCTGAAAACTTGAAAAACACCTTCAGGCTATCCAAGATGTAGATGAGTTTGTTTCTTCATCAGAACAGATTTGGAGAAATGTAGCATTACATCACTTGCTCACCAATGGATCCTCTGCAGTGAATGGGTGACGTCAGAATGAGAGTATAAACAGCTGATCAAAACATCACAATAATCCACAAGTAATCAACACCACTCCAG